TAATAATAATAATAATAAAAAAATACAGTGAAAGCAATGAAGATTTTGTAGGTTTTGAACCAAACTAAATAACAGTAAATATTTTTTTTTTTGATTTACGGTAATTTCTTATTTTGATGTTTTGAGCTATTTTGTGTTTAGAACAATATATAAAGTATCAAACTGAATTTTTGTTCAATAAAAATCTTTCAAATGCGATTGTAGCTTTTTTTCCCCAAAAAACGTTGTCTTCAAAATAAGGGCGCGTCTTATATTCCGAAAAATACGGTACTCACTTCAGAACTAGTATAATTTCACACATTGAGTTTTTCAAACCAGTGTGTTTTAATACATACATATAAGTTGTTAGAACTATACGAAAAATTAGTTTTGTTGGGTTGTCATCTGGTTATCCACAACCTTAAGATCTAATGTATCTTGTCCATTTACGGTTTCAAGTTTTCTGACGCTATTATACGCTTTAGTTTGTCAGGTCGGAGCTTAGAAGTGTGTCTATAATACCTGTCGCCACAAAACGTAGATTTAAAGACATTAACTTCTGTACACAAAACTTCGCAGTGGCGTATTCATGGGGTGACCTGGGGAAACACATACATTAAATATTGGTGCCACCCTTCATGTTAGACGCATTTTAATTTGTGTGTAAAATACTTTGGACGCCTGAAGAGTAGACCAAAAAGTATGAGTATTCTCTATATTTAAGTCGTGTCCACATTGGTGCTACCCCCCCCCCCCAACCTTTTGTTATGCACTAGAATCGTCACTTATGTGTGTGTAAAAACAATATACATATAAGCGGCACATTGGCAAGTACACAAAGAGAGCCACTAAATATCTGGATAGTTTTTCAACATAAACCGATTGGTATTTTACACTTAAATGATCTTAATTTCTTAATGGTCTCATTATCCTCTTGTGCACAGCACTCTGATCGCGCCACAGTACATTGTTTCAATAGCTTATTTTATTGTTGTTAAGGCAGCTCGTTAAAGGGACCGTCACAAATTTTTCGTTACATACACAAACACGAACTGAAACGTTTCTTTAAAAAGTAATCTTAACAATGAAGGCACTCTTTAACCGAGTATCTTTTTTATTACAGAAGTTATCCCTGTGAAATTCTAGAACACATTTGACTGAGCTATACTACATTGTATAAATAATCCCTAAAACGAACACAACATTTGGAAACGGTACATTTCACAAGACTCCATAATTTGAGCCCATCACAATTTAGTGTTCTTAATGACCACCATTTTTACGACAATCGAGTCTTTAGTTAAATAATATGCTTTTCTAAAAACAAACCAATGTTATCTCTTTTTGTAAGCTGGGGCAAGCTCCTGATCCCAACTGTACCGGTGGAAATAGTGTACCATTCCGTTACGATTTTTCACAAAAAATCGGCAAACATTACGTCATCACTGTTTAGCGAACCCCTACTAGTGTAGCTGAGGGCAACCAACTTGGTCTACATGCCATGTTAGTAATACGTGTTCGTATAAAAGTAATTTATCCCACATGTGTTCCACCACATGCATAGCACTGGTTCGGTTCGTGTTTGTTACACGGTATTACCGCCATGACGACTAGCCATGGTTTCTGTTAGCTGTATTTTCTTTCACTACACACAGCTAGACAGATCACGATGTCTGAAAAGGAAAAAGTGGGCGATTTGTAAAAAAAAAAAGTTTTCAGTTACTTTATAAGCGTTTTCGCTAACTTCTTCTGTGACATTATTATTTTAGATAACACACACGCATACATAAAAAATAAACTTTCACTCAAATCCGGGTTAATCCGATATCTAAATCGTTATAGTCACAGGGTCAATGATAATTCTGAAGTTCTAAAATTTACAAAATTAACAATAATGAAATTTTTGTTCGTAATGGAACATGAATTTTGTACATAATCTAGTTGTAAAAGTACAATACTAAGAGCATTTAATCAAAGTGCATAAACAAACTACATATTAATTCAACCAAGATATACTATCTGGAATATCATTTGGTGCTAAATACATAAAGGTGAAACCTGAGTAAGTTATAGGCGGTGGAACATGTATATATATATATATATATATATATATATAT